CAGTAGTTAATTATATGATTTAGTAAAGGCAAAATATAAGGGCACAAATGCAGAAGTAAACCAATACCGATTCCATCAACACCCGTCGCCGTAGATTTAATAGATTTGAGCGCTAAAAATATTTCATTCTCTGTTACCAAACTAAAAGAAAATTCGACAATATCATGTTTTGTATGTTGCTTATAATACTCAACAGTCTCACTATTAACAACAAAGTCACTTCTACATGACTTAACAAAGAAATCATTGATGGCATTAACGTCATCTACATTAGAAACCTGCTGAATTTTTCTTTTGTTAATCGTATTCATAGTTTTTAAATCTTGCCAAATATTTTTGCTAGTTTTTGTCCGTATAGAAAATTCGAGATAAGCTTTTTTTTCTTTTGTCACAGCAGAGTTTGTTATATTGCGCAATTGTTTATAATAATCCCAGTGGGCTGTTAATTTAGACTTCCTATATCTGACTAAAGCTCTGTCCCTTAACTTAATCATCTGTCTTATCGTATCAGTAAGCCAAGGTGATTTTTTCTTACTAATTAAAACTGTTTTTACCGGGGCGTGCTTGTCAAACAATTCAGTGATTAGATTATTTAATAAGGCCACTTTATCATCAACATTCCCCAATTGAAAAATATTTGCAGTTGGTAGTGCACAAAAGTCCTCTAATAGTTTATCCTGATCAATATCTTTTAAATCGCGAAATGTATACATGAAAGGTTCAGATTTTACTATACTAAAATTTAGTGAACATGATACCAACTTATGGTCAGATATTTTAGAAATTTCATAAACATTTGTTGATTTGATTTTCAAAGATTTTGATACAATAATGTAATCTAATAAGGTACAACTACTAGCAGTGACCCGTGTAGGTTGATCAATGATTTGATCAAGTTCATATGTATTAAGAATATCAGTAAGTTTTTTAACTTGTGAACTATTAATATCTAAGTAATCAATGTTGAAGTCTCCACCACATAAAATATAATCATATTTAGTTAATATATAATTGAAAGACTCATCCAGGTCTGAAAGAAATTGACAGACCTTATATCGTGGAGGTTTGTAAAGAGCACATACCGCTAACTTGCAATGATCATGTAAAATTTCCACCCATAATTGCTCAGTTTGACCTACCTTATCCGTAACAATCCTCTTACTTTTCAAAGAGCTATTCACATACAATGCAACTCCTCCACAGCTACCATCACGATCTTGTCTGTATATGTTATAATTTTGCAATATAACGGTCACATATCACAAATATTAGTGTTTAACCACGTTTCCGAAACAGCCACAACTGAAAATTTTTTGTTAATCCTATGTGTGCTATTAACGAGCGTGCATTCAAATGTGCAAACGTTAAATTACTTGCCTTTGTCATACTGACATAGCTTTAATATAGATAATACTAATATGAGTTAATTGGAATAGTAAAATAACGAAGATATTTATTACACTTAAGTAACTAGAAAAAAAAATGAAGTTAACCAAGGAATTTACGTATTCTAAACCATAAAAAACAAAAATCAATGTAGTCTATTGAAGAGTATAACATAAGTCGCTCCACAAATAAAGGAAATAAATGTTAACATGCAACAAAGCAAAAATTACAACGGGTTGATGTCTTCCACGCAGTTAATTCTTCTTTTTTCCTTACCATCATTACAAAAAATAGTTCCGTCCAGGGTCCATACTTTATTATTACCATAACGTTCCTTGGCCCTTTTGAATAATAAAATTTTCCGGCGTCAAATCGTCGGCAAAAAATAAACCAGTTTTTTAAATTTCTTTTGTTTTCCATCAAAAAACGTTTATCACTGTAGTTGATAAATTTCACTATTACTAGTCCTTTATTGTTATTGCCTTTAGCACGGAATATATACTCCAAGTTAGAAGACTCCAAATCAATTTTATACATTTTATTTATCAGATTGATAAAAGAATCCTTTAAGGTTTTACCCCTCACATCTTCCAACCCAATTATTCTTAAATTGTTTCTTTTTTCCTGCTGCTCTAGTTTGTTTACTTTTTGTTGTAGGAATGTGTTTTCTTTCGACAGGTCACTTACAGTTTTTTCAAAACCTTTTATCTTATCCTCTATTTCATTCTTTATTTGCTTCACAACAGCAGTGGCTATACTCTGCATTAATTCCTTGTTTTGCGTTAAGGTTTCGGTGATAACTGTAACCAAAATGTCCTTTATTTCGGTAACTTGCTGCTTAGAGAATGGCATTTTGATGCAACTTGTGTATCAACACCTTACAAGAAATGTGAGCAGGAAAAAAAGATTTGATGCTTCGTAGAAACACAACAAACAATACAGAAAGCAGGAGCAACTTAAACACGTCTTACTCACTGTAAACCATATTAACACAATAGCAACAAAGTATACTTTATTTATTTCTACATATTCTTGTAATTTAAATTACGTGCATAAATAATTAAATTGGTATCTTTCATATAATTCTTGCTGGTGACATCGCTATTATCAATACTGAATTGAATAAATCATTTCCAATTAGTTGCTGTCTCTTTCCTGTTAGTAAAAAACTGATTGAAATTCAGATATATAAAATTTAAAGAGAGGATACGTGTAGTAATCGATGCTGATCGATCTGTATTGGTAATTGACTACTTTTACTAAATATTTAAACATGGAAATCAATTGCTTCATGAACAAAATGAAATTTTAAGAAGATAGACTGACACGTATTACTTATTTTTAAGTTGTTTTATTTGTAATATATATTTACTTTGTTACTTGTTTGTTATGAATAAATATTTATTTTATTTTAATTAGGCACAAATAATTTCGTTTTTTTTATTCAATTAATAAAACATTGAAATCTTTGGTAGATAAACATTTTATTTTTACAAAATATATAACAAAAATATAGAACATTGTTAAAATATTTCTTTATAATACCTTAATAATTTTGGTCTATACTCTACCTTGGAATAAGTCATGGCATCATGTTACGTTCGAATTAAATCAACAATTTT